GCATAGAAATATAATAAATTCAATTCAATTCAATTCAATTCTAGTGTGCTGCTGGGGGCTGGAGGGGGCAAAAAACGGCCCATTTTTTGCTCATCTCTGCCCTCCCTAGCCCCCAGGAGATCTCTGAAAGCCTCCATAAGATTATGCACCACCATTTTGGTGAAGGGGCGGGGCTTCAGGAAGGCAAAAAATGTTGCATTCGATGTATGACATACCCAGATTTTCAGCTTCTTTTTTGAGGAAAAAAGGTGCGTCTTATACTCTGAAAAATACGGTAATCCTATATTAGTCTGTCTGAAGGGATAAATGCATAAACCAAGTGCAAGGTAATATCCTGATTTCCATTCCTATTCCAGTAGCAAGGTGGGAACACTACTCTGGGGAGAAGACAAATGAAGTATGGTTGAAGTGAGGCCAGCTATAGCTCCAAATACACAATACTCTTTAGGCCATGTGTTACAATGTTTGAAAAATGAAGCTGTTCCATTTCAACAACTCCAACTCTCATGTTTCTTATAGAAGGACAATATCCTAATTCTATGGTGTGAAAAAAAAAATGCCAACCTGAAAGATTCTGAAAGATATGCTAAAGAGGACAAAAGCATTCTTAAGTGAATCAGTCAAGGGGCAGTGGTGGAAACACGGGTCAATTTGAATGGGGTACAAGACAATTCTAGTCCTGATTACATCATATGGAGGCAACAATGCTGCATTCTTGGGGATCTCCATATGACCTAACCTATGTCTTGGATGGAACTGCCTTGGCTATTAATCATCTTGAATTATAAATCTGGGTGCTAAAGAATGTATTGGTTTCTTTATCAATAACATCTGTGGTGAAATACAAGCAGTTTCTTACCTCAAGACTCTTAGGTTTCTCAGCTTTGTCAGTGATTTAAAGAAATCTTCCATATATCCTTCATCCAATTTAAATGGCTTCCAGTTCCGGTGTGAATGTACTCTTGTTGCAGAATTGGAAAAATAGTAGTACAAAAAGACCATATTGTAAATGAAATGATTATGGAGCTCTATATGCAGGAATTAAGAAATTAAAACTAAGATGGCATCCAAGATACAAAAAAAATGAATAAAGTGAGAGAAATTTTAAGGAGTCCTAAGTAGCAGGATATAGATGTGAGAAATAGTTTACACATGTTATATACCCATGCATGCAAGCATACCATGCATATTCCTCTTCATGCATATTCCACTTCATTCGCATCCAAATAATAATTACTGCCTATAATTATAAACAAGTGGGACTGTCTAGATTGCTGCCTGAGCTTCATTTAATTTTCGGAAAACATCTCTGCTGCAAATGGCTATTGGGAATTCTGACAAGAAAGCTTTTTCCCCTATGCAATAACTTTGGGCAGTGAAGTGTTATTGTACAAAATCACTGAAAGGACTTGACATTTATTTTAAAAACAGGTCATTAGTAGAACAGGTAAAGGGGGAACTGCCTTTTTTAAGGTGAAGTTGAGAAGAGTATTATCACATATCCATTTTTTCTATAGGAGGTGACAGGGAAAATAGAAAAAAAGGTATTTTCTTTTTCCTTTTATTAGTCTATCCTGTCAATTACAAAGGGTAATGAATGGATGAGGGCTAGTAGAAAAGTGTGTTGTCCATTCACGGGTAATCCATGCTTGTTTCCTTCACACTGTTATAATTTTATCAATCCTCCGAGTCCAGGTTAAAGGGATGAACAGATTATCAGCCAGAAAAGCAAGCAGGGAATCAGGCACTTGTGAGAGCTTCCAGATCAATCAGTCAGAGCAACTGAAGCCCAATACAGATAACAAGGGAACACATTTTGGTAGAGAGCATAATATGTTTTAAAGGATATATAATGATTTAGACATTCCTAATCTAACTGCTGAAAGTTATTACGCACATTCTAAAGAGGCATTTTTTAACCCATATTTATATTTTGGAGACTAGGTCTGAGAACAGCAGTGGGATTATTATAATCTGAATTAATTGCCCAAATATTATAAACTTTCAAAAATACTTACTTGTTTTTTGGAAGAAATAATCCATTATCTGCCTGATATATAGATGTAGGGCTTCGAACATAGAGATACTCCAAATTTTGACAGTGCTGTATACAATAGGTCAGGATCATCAATTCCATATATGAGTTGCACTGATAATTTATTTCAGTGATAGCACATAGCGCATCTCTTACAAAATTCTCATCTTGTGTCTCATATAAGTAACTAAGTATTTCTTTTTCCAAATACAAATGAATTTTTATATGAAAGGAATTGTATAAATACAGCATATGCTTATCTTGTGTGATCCAATTCAGGTCGATCGCGTTAATTTTGCTGTTAATGTTTTTTTTTACCCAGTTTAATAATAACTCTTTATTCTCGCAAGAAATTTCCCATCCAAATTCTTTTTTCAACTCTCTCATTCTATTTTCTTCATTTAGAAAACCAAAGAGGAAACGAAATTCTACTGCAAATTCAGACCTAAAATATTCACACTTTGTGCTGGGGTCCTCAAAAGTTTGTCTTTTTAAAAGTGCCCGCAAATTTGTATTCAGGTTTTCAGAATGGTGCTGCTCTCCTCCTTTCAGAACATAAAACAAAGAAGCAAAAAACTCCTGGAAGCTTAAGTGAATGAAACTGAAGTTTTTAATACAGTGAATATCTCGTTTGAAGTTGTTCTCATTCAGAAAGAGGGGGAAGAAGTCATCCTGAACCAAATTGTCCTTCATGACTTCTTCTTCTGGAAACAGTATTTGCTGCTTCCAGATGCCCTCTGCAGCCAAAGAGCAGACGTTTTTCAACTTTCTTTGGACATCCTGTTCGGATTCTTTGTGGTGATACTTTAACAAGCTGGAGAGATACAGCATATAGATTTCAGTGAGAGTGCATGGCATCTTCTGGAGATTTATACCTCCCTCCATCTCTTGTTTCAACACTGTGCAGATGATCCAGCTCACAAGGGGAATGACACACATGGTGAAAAGTGTATCATTTTGTTGCACAAATCTGAGAGCTTGAGTTGCTTGGTCTTTATCATCTCCAAAAAAATTCTGGAAATATTCTTCCATCTTCTCTCCAGAAAACCCCAATATCTGGAAAAAATGTGGATATTCTAAATATCGATTGAGTTTCTTCAAAGCAATAGGTCTTGTTGTGATTATAAGAAAGGATTCAGGAAGAAGCTTTTTTTGGAATAAACTTCTCAAAATAATTTTTATAGGTTCCTTCTTCCAGGGATCAGAGCAACAGGAATCTTCAGCCTGATCAAAAGAATACCTTAATTCATCAAACCCATCAATTATGAACAGAAGCTTCCTTTCATTCTTCAGTATGTTTTGAATGAAGTTTTCTACAGCATGACACCTGGGCCATTGTTTTGAAATTATCTCTGCAATGCTACTCTTTTCTGACTCTGCATGGCAATTAAACTCTCTACAAGAAATATAAAAAACACAATTAAATCGATCAGGGTAAAATTGTTGAGAAGCCCAATCCAACATGATTTTTTTGGCCATCATAGTTTTTCCAATTCCTGCAGCTCCTTGCAACACAACAGTTTTTGGATTTAGTCCATGTATAGGGTCAAATAATGTTTTAATTTTGGCTGAAGACTCAGGTCTCTTGCTGATTGCTTGAATTTCAGTATGTTTCCTTCCTATTGCTTGAATTCCATTTACCCTTTCCTGTTGAGACAGTTGACCACGTAGGATGGTTAGCGTTGAGTATCTCTTATCTAGGGACACACGTTCACCAGGATCAGAATTAGGATCTTCAATAGTTTCAAACTGTGTTTTAACATAGCTTCTGTAATCTAAAGCAAGAAAAAAAGTCAAATTAGAAGTTTTAAAAATAAGGCTTGCAAAACACACTGGTTTTTTTTGTTGCTAGATCTTCTCCTTGAAGCCACCTTCATCCTCCCCATTCTGGATTATGTTTACAGGATCAATTAATTAATCAAAAAAGGAATTGATTTCAAGAAGCAAATGTTTGTTATTAAATACATTAAATAATAATTATTTATTAAATATTAGCTTCTTTTTCCACATAATATTTCTCAAATAATTGCACTCAACACTAACAGGTTATATAAAAATGTTTCTTTGGACTTTGATAGACAGAGGTTTTTAAACCTTATTCCCTTGGAATATGCTAAATACTCTTAGAATGAATTTAATACCAGCATAATATATATGTTCTTTCCTCACTACACATGTAGCTAAACCCACCTATCCTCCATTAAACAGACGATGTGCATAGATCTGGATGCTTTATTGAAAGAACAGGATATGGTGGAACTGTGGAAAATAGGAATACATACAATGAGAACCAAATACAAGACAGGCAGTATTGATTTACTCCTGAACATAACAATTAATAAATACAAGTAATCTAAATCTCACCAGCGATGCTCTGTGTGTGGGATGCAATTTGTCCTTGGATGATGCAGATTAAGATGGATTCTTTTTTATGCTTCTGCTTCCACAAATTTACTAAAGGAAAATAGAATCTAGCTTCCTAGTGTGCACTTGTTTTGAGAGTGTGGGCTAAGGAGTAAAAAGGTTGGGTCAACTTCAAAACAATATAATTGGTATTTGTTCCTCCGGCCACTTGATGGGACTACAGAGCAGCAACAGTACATAAAGATTACATGTTGCAGCATGACCCTCCCTGCCTGGTATCAACTGATACCACTATTTGAGTTCTGAGATGGTAGCATTGGATGAGCTGCCACTGCTTTTTTGCTGATATGGCTGTCAGTAGAATGACATGACTGCAGTTTCCGATCAGGCTTCTGGGAGCTTGACAGTGATATATGTTTGGAATATAACATCCCATTGTTGGCTTCTCCCTTAAAATTGCTGAAGTGATCTGATGTATATCCAGCACCATTCTGTAGCAACGGGACCCGAGTCATGTCAGAACGTATCTGGACAATGACTTGGCTTTGAGGCTGACACATCACTGCTTCTGCTATTGTGAGGTTGCCGTCAGATTCTGTGTTGGATGAACAATCTCCATTCATTAACGATCTGTGAGATGTTGAACATTTTTCCTTCAGAAAAAGTTCTTGCTTGCAAGCCACGTCCACTCGCAGATGCAGATTGCCCTTCTATGAAATGCTTTCTTTCTCTGCATTTGGTTTAGATGGTTGAAATTGAATCTTTGGCATATTTCGGGGGGGGGGGGGGCTCTGAAATAAGGAAACCAGTTTGTTCTGAGGATGCAACAGTCTCTGATGTATTTGTCCCACACCTTGTGTCAGGATCTTCCTGTGACTGACTGAACGGAAGTTCCTTTTGAACAAATATAGAAGACACTGCAGAAGGATGATTCAGTTTCTTTTTGATCTTTGCTGATGTTTGTGGTGTGGCTGTAGGCTGCTGCATCACTAGAGCCATAGAATTCTCCACAGAGTCTGTGGTATGAATAGCACAGATAGATTCTGGAGGCTGTGGCATGGAGCATGCTATAGTTTGTTCTTTATTGTTAGCTAGGCATTGCCTCTGTGGTCTGAAGGGAAGAGGGGTGACCCAGTTGTCAGTATCTTCTTTGACTAACCCCTCCTTTATAATTTCTAAAGGGAGTTTGTCCTCAGTAGATGTTGCCACCTGGTTGTCATCTTCCATCCTTTGGAAGATTGTGCACCTTAAATGACCTTGGTCATTGTCACAGGCGAGGGTGTCACTAAAGGGGCCTATAAAGGGACATGGCAAATGGGTAATGTGTGGTGATTCTTTTAAGAGGAATTGGTTGTGGCTTGGCTGAAAAATAGAAGGATGTCCATTCTCTAATGTACTTATCAGCATGCCGCTAACAGGGGTTGGTTTGTGCATGCTTCCTAAACAGACATCACCTATAATGACCCTCCCTAGGTCTAATTTCTGAGCGTATGGAGCATTGATCTGAGCTCTTGCCTTGTGGACTGGGAAAATATCTCTCCCTAGTAGCAAAACTCCCTGAACCTGAGGATCAAGCTCTGGTATCAGATGTGCTATGCAATTCAAATGTGCGTGATGAATTGTTACATCTGGTATAGGGATTTCAGATCTATGGTAAGGGATCTGGTTGCATTTGATAAGAGTTGGTAAAGTCAGGCATGTTTTTGACTTGATAACCAGATGCTCTTCTCTCCACCGTCTCCATAATTCCTGCACAAGTTTTTAAGGAATATGAAGTACTGGGGCCTTTAATGCCAAAGATATCAAAGAAGGATTAGCTGGCTAAAGATCTATTACTTTTGGCACATATGATGGCATAAAGCTTAATGGCTTTGTCCCTTTAGCTTGCTGGGTAGACTCTGACTAGACAGATTTTGGAACAGGACTTGCCATCTGCAACCTCTTTGCAGACTTCTGTGCATTTTGCATGGATTTATGGATATCCAATTTTTTTTTCTTTAAAAAAAAAACACAAATATGTCATCATTTGTCAATCATTAAGACATTGAAATACAATTTTTTTTGTTGTGTGTATCCCCCCCTCCCCCCCCCCCCCCCCCCCCCCCCC